CAAGGCAGTAGGGATAGTAATGTGGTGAAACCTGCGTAAAACCATACTTACTCACTCACTCTTCAGCAGCCCATGTTTGTCCTAAGACAAGCTTGGCTTGGTTGACACATGCTATTGTATCCCGATTTGGTAGATATATGTTTATGCAGCGTTCGAAATTAACCTCGGTCCTTGGGCCCAAAGCCGACTGAATCCCATTCGGACCCACAGCTTTTGTTTCTGTATAGGTCCTTATGGCCAACAGCTCATTCATCTTCAATAACTAAGAGATTGATTTCCATATCAAAATAAAAGGCCTACACATTCTGATCTGGACCCACAATATTTTTATGGTTCTGGGTCCTTAGGGCCTGCAGAGCTTTTCAGGATTAAGGGCAAACACTGTGTCGTTTATGATGCTGATCACTGGGTTGTCTGGTCCAGACACCCGTGAAGGTGCGGGTTAGATTTGATCGTCACTAAGTAACCCATGCTTGTGGTAAGAGGCGACTAACGGGATCGGGTGGTCAGGCTCGCTGACTTGGTTGACACATGTCATCGCGCAAGTCGATGCTCATGCTGTTGATCACTGGATTATGTGGTCCTGACTCGATTATTTACAGACCGCCGCCATATAGCTGGAATATTGCTGAGTGTGGCGTAAAACTAAACTCATTCACTCAATCTGGTCCAGACTCGGTTATTTACAGACCGCCGTCATATAGTTGGAATATTGCTGACCGCAGCGTTAAGAAAGCTGAGAAAAAAATATACCCCGACATTATAGGTCACTATTAATAATTATGTATATATGTTCCATGTTGTAAAAGAACTTGAAACATTCAGAACTTCACTGTCCCACACAAAGTTGTGGGTGAACCCTTCGTCCTTTTCCGTGAACATCACGGGAATTCACGAGGGAACCAAATTCCCTGACCTCGGCGATGACAAAGCAACATCCATTGCCCGGCTACAAACGCTGAGTGTTCATCATTGTCCTGATGAAATACCTGATACGCTTTCATCAGAGCGACACCCACTTGGAGTTGACCTATATACCCATTTTTGTGACCTATCTTTCTTACGATACTGTATTACAAGCGGCCCATGTCCGAATTCTTCTGTTCAGGAGAACGAGTCTCAGCCCCTTGCGGCATGCGCGATACCTGTGGGTACACATTGGCACTAAAGTGGTGAATGTAGGCTGCATGTACGTACTGTTGCCATATATAGTGTAACACTGTGGCAGGTTGATGGGTATAATTAGACTAACATCTAGTCTCTGAAATGAACATATTTTACCGAAAGAAAACCCATAATAAAATATAATGAAAAGGAGCCTAGAATCTTTCTTCATTTTTAGAAAGAAATCCAGATTTGCCACGTATTCTAGACTTGCACGGGCTTCTAGACTTCAGGGTCTGTATGACGGATTAGGGTACAATGAATGAATGAGTGAGTGAGTGTGATTTTATGCCGCTTTTTAGCAATATTCCAGAAATATCACGGCGGAGGACACCAGAAATGGACTTCATACATTGTACCCATGTGCGGAATCGAACCCGGACCGTCCGTGTGACGAGCGAACGCTTTAACCACTAGGCTACCCCACCGCCCCATGGGATTACTATCAAACTTCACCTTACAGGTCCAGAGCCTTGACAGTAGAACGGAAAGTCGGTGGTTCAATCCCAAGCCGCGTCAGATAAATATACGTTAAAAATGGTATTTGATGTTACCCGGCCTGCCTGGCGCTGGACATTAAAGCCATAAAGTGAGGTCATGTTTGCTCGGAGTCAGTGCACTGTGCCTGAGTGATTTAATGATGTTTAAACTCTGTCATGCTATCTCAGCCGCCAGCACTATTAAACTTTTATTACTCCGGACTACAGGCAGACACACACGTACACAGAAACACATACGCACACCCTCTCCCTCCCCCTTTCTGTCCCTCCCCCTCTCCGCTCTCTCTTTCTCTCTCCGGGGCTCCTTCCCCTCTCCTCTCTCCATCTCTCGATCTTTCTCTCCCTCCCCTCTTCTCTCTCCCTCACTCCCCCTCTCCTCTCTCTCCCTTTGTCTCTCCCCTCTCTCTTTCTCCCTCCCACTTTCTCTCTCCCCTCTCTTTCTCTCCCCCCACGTTCTCTCTACCCTCTTCCCTATACCTCTCTCTTTCTCTCCCTCTCTCTTTCTCTCTCCCTGTCTCTACGGGGCTCCCTCCCCTCTCCTCTCTCCATCTCTCGATCCTTCTCTCTCTCACCTCTCATTCTGTCTCCCCTCTCTTTCCTCTTTCTCTCCTCCCCTCTTCTCTCCCTCTCTCCCTTTCTCTCCCTCTCTCTTTCGCTCTCCCCTCGTTCTCTCTCCCCTCTCCCTCGTTCTCTCTCCCCTCCCTCTCTCTCTTTCTCTCTCTCTCTCTCTCTCCGTCCCTCTCTTTGTCCCCGTTAAATCTGAGCATACATACATGTATTGTCATATGACATAGGATACCATTGCGGTTTTACATATCACAAAACACAGGTCATTAAGTCTGATACACAACAGTAACTGAACCTTCACTGATCAGCCAAGCTTCGCCTGCGATATCGTTCGATAACCACCTGGGTGCGCCATCTTGACTAGTCAATGTTATATAGGCATTTTTATCTTAATGACAAAGCTATATTTTGCACAATCACACATCGATACAATATCTCCATATTAGGTGTAGCACAGCCACGTATTGACCTTATATGGATACACAGCACTCGGCTGTATAGCGACTGCAGGCGAAGTCACCCTGCTGTGGACCCACGCCCGTGCACTTTTGTATAACACATTCAGGACATGTGGACTCCAGTCATTAACCGATCAACGTAATGACCTCTGACGATGTTTGTATACCGAGGCCATGGTTTGTAAAGTGCTTGCTTCGCGTCAAATTCAGATTAGTGTAAATTTGGTGTTCTATATTTATTTATGGATTTTTTATCAACGCTCAGTGAAAGTTACATTTATTGACCCTGCGGTATTGCCGTTATCAGCATTTCCTCGTGACTGTTTATCAGGCGTTATGTGTTTTTTCCTCTTGGTCATATTTTTTCGATTGGAGGGTATTGATTTTAGTGTTATAGTTATCTCGTTTAGGTTGAAATATGAATGGGTTTAGGCCAATATTGATTTATTTAGTTTTTCATATTGATTTTATTTATTTGTTTGTTGTTTTAAGGTCGTAACACAATTTGGTATTTTGTGTGTAGTCAAGTCTGAGGTGTTTTATTGTATCAAAGGCCATCAGCCCATATACAAGTTTACATATATACACTGGTTGAGAATATACCGATTTGCAGATTCAGTGGAAATGGAAAAGAAATATAATATATAAAAATATACATAAACAGTGGACAAAGGGATGCCTGTTCTACTTGAAATCACTTTAGCTGATCTGATGTCCTTGTTATAATTCTCTAAAATCAACTTCCTCTTCTCTAAATCATCCATACTGAGGATCACTGAAAATGTCGTCTGCTATCAAGTAAACAAAGGGGGGGATAACTCTTCGCAAACTAATGAAAATGGATTAACGAAGTTGTCTCTCTTGAATGAAACCAATCACTTGATAGCTGGTCAAGGTCGTTTATACTAAAAATCCAATTAAACATATTCCTAAAATTCTCAATAATTTCTTGTCATACTATAACATTCATTTAACAATTGGTGATAATCGGGAGGACGTTTTAGAGTAAGGTAAATCTGAAATCCCATTCAACAAGTTATTTCTTAGGTCCATTCCATGTTTTACAAATAGAGATAATGTAAATATGACTGTGTAATACTGTGCCGCAATGTTGTAGGAAGGGATGATGTCCGGGACTGCCTCCGTGGTGTAGTGGTTAGAGTGTCCGCCCGGAGAGTGGAAGGTCGCGGGATCGATCCCCGACCGCGTCATACCTAAAGACGTTAAAATACGGTACTTGTTGATCCCTGCCTGGCGCTCGGCATTAATGGGTACAACAAGGAGTCAGTATAATGTGTCTGAGTGGGGTATTCATGCCTCACTGCGGCATGGTATCTCAGTGGGCTAGCACTATAAAACCAGCTTAAGTCTGGGCTAGTACAAGCAGTCTCACATACACATACACACGCATGCACGTCGACATATGAGCGAAATATTCTCAAGCACGACGTAAAACCCAATTTCACCTCACCTCACCTATATCGCTGCGGTCTGTAAATAATGGAGTCTGGACCAGACAATCCAGTGACTGACATCATGAGCATCCATTTACATAACTGACACGGGATGACATTGTCAACAAAGTCAGCGAGCCTGACCACCCGATCCCGTTAGTCGCCTCTTATGACAAGATGGGTTACTGAAGACTGATTCCTACCAAGGGACGTCCCCAAATCCCCGTCCCTCCTCAAACATGGGACGCACAAGTACGCACACACACACCAGATTCAGTTACATCTGCAATGCGATCAATTTCGATACCGCAAGTATTCAAATCTTTCTGCATTGTGTTATGTACATGTTTAGTTACGCATGCAGTTATAGGACTCTTAGTGTGACGCCAGCAGAGCGCCATCGCCTTGTAACCAGCTTACCCGGTAGCATGCATAATATAAACATTATACCCGGAATATCTAGGTAAGGGTGGTTAACAACAGGGTGTAATATCAGCCTGTCCTCAAAGCCATCCACCAGGCTGGATCTGTGTCACTCGACGTCAGAAATGAACCAGCTTTTAAATTAAATTCAAAAGCAAATATATGCATTCAGCCTCTTCACTGGCCTTTTCTGAATCTAACTGGTTGCACTGTGTTTGTTTAAGAAACGGAAAAATTTAAATGCATTTTTCATAATCAGACGGAGACGTGGTTCAGTTGCACCCGATCCAGGAAATACTATCTTGTACTAAATTAGCTCGTCTTTGCTAGCAACAGTGAGTTGCTAATAGCAGTAACAGAAATAGCCTTTTCGCCCTTAGATGTGCTGTTATGTGTAACAGTGACTACATGCATGAAATATACTTCCCATCCAGACTCACTGAAAACAGTCACTATATGTCATATATATATATGGCTACATCGAAGATTGATTTCTCCACTAACTCGGGGGAACCAACTGCAAACCTTATGCAGATGAATTGCACGAGGATCATGCATCAAATTGCTGTAATGCATGTACAAATATCATGCATATGACCAGCTGCGTTTTGGTGTAAAGTTTTGTTAAGAATTCGCCAATTTTCACTGAGTTTTATCGTTTCTTGAACTCATGACAATAATCTTTTCAACTGTATGAATTTGTTTTACAATACATCAGTTCATGTGTAAACAATACCTTTAAACAGTATCAATGGACTATTTTGCAAAATTTAGTTTAGAACAGTTGCCTGAAGTAAGTGGTTATATTTACACTAGTGAGTCTAAACTTTTGATGGGAAGTATAGTATGACCATATAAGGCATCGTCATATTTCTCATCGCCAGCACGCCATATTGAGGCGAGGCAACACACAGTATAGGGTGTGTAGTTTCTGTATTTCACCATAGTTTACGGATCATGAAGGTTTGTTCATGAAAGGGTAGGGTCCGTGTATATGTATATTAGCGGTCGTTTCGTTACGGTATCACTTGCTGGTGCAGATTACTGCAGAATCTAATCTCTGTTCGTGACGTGCTGATAGTGGCTATAACAGTTAGTCCTGAAGCTATTTGACGATGTGCAATACATGGTTTAAACATCGCGCTACATCCCATTTTTCTCTTTATCATCTCACAGATGTGTATATTTATAGTTCAGGTTTGCTCAATGGGGCATTGCCTATAGGAACGTTTAAAATATTCTCCGGGATTGTTTACACAGAACGTAGCTGAAGGAAGACACCCGGTAATAGTACACCCGGGTAGTTCTGGGGAAGTATTTCAATTATCGTTTTATAGTCTATTTCTTTTTTGTTGGACAAAACCTTCTTTCAGGTTTGTGTTTAACGTCGGTAAGAACGTAAGTCACGTGGGGAATGTGACCTTTGGTCTCCGGGATGTTCTAGATGACCGGTTGGGTGGCGTAGTTGGTAAAGGGCATGCATGTGACGCCGAAGACACTGGTTCGATTCCCGGCATGGGTACGCTGTGTCAAGCTCACTCAGTTGTCATGAAATATCCGGGGTTTTATAACTCAAGGAGTTTCACTTTTCACTTCCGCTTTAGATCCGTTTAAGAAGATGTGTGATCTACTCTTCTTTCAGACCCGTGAAGATCCGGGTCAGAATTGATCTCCAGCAACCCCTGCTTGTCGTAATAGTGCGACTAAGGTCGGGTGGTCAGGCTCGCTGAATTGGTTAACGTCATCGTATCCCAATTGCGTAGATGGATGCTCATGTTGATGATCACTGGATTGTCTGGTCCAGACTCGATTATTTAGCTGGAGTATTGCTGAGTGCGGTGTTAAACATCAGGCAAACAAAAACTGCAGCTTTACTTGACATGCCATTTTAGTCTATACCTATTAATATATTTATCTCATCATCGGGCGATCATGTGTGAGCAATCCGTTGGCTCGATACACGTGTCCCCCGCCGTGATTTTCAAGGTATATAGCAAAGTGAGGCGTGACCACTCACTGACTCAATCACTCGCGTTATGATGTGGGGAACACATGACCTTCAACATCAGCATATACTGAAATTGGTTTGGACTTGTGATTGGTTTACAAGTAGTCGTACTGGTTAAACTATCAATATCTGCTTTCAGCATACGCCTTTTTATACTCTGTCGTGTAGTTTGAATGTATGTGGTGATCTTTTAACTCCGACCTATGATTGCCATGCCCCCCACCCCCACCCGACTACCTTTGATAATTTACTGTATGTATGGGGGAAAAATGTTAATATTACAATAATCATTAAACTACAGCTACAGTATTATGATAACGACATACTCCTTGTCCAAGATATTTTTATGGATTAAACTTCTTTATAATTTCCCTCACGACGTTTCGAGACCATTCCAGGTCCCTTCATCAGGTGAACTGACAGTTGGAATGGACCTTCATCAGGTCTAATCAACCTTCATCAGGTGAACTGACAGTTGGAAGGGACCTGGAATGGTCTAGAAACGTCGTGAAGGAAATTATAAAGAAGTTTAATCCATAAAAATATTTTGGACATTAATGTACAACTTCTAAATGCCACTGAAAGACGACATACTCCTCTTCATCGGCTTCCATCTCCCAGGTGTCAGTGGACATCCGATTCGAAACATATTAGGAACTAAGAATAGTGCCAGATGTGTATACCCCAAATGATATTGTTTTATCGGCATTCTAGAAGTAGGTCTATAATGGATATACGATGCATAACAAGTGTTATTGTTTATTGAACAGAGCGACTTTGGTGAAGATTCTTACCCGTGTGTGTGTGTGTGTGAGAGAGAGAGAGAGAGAGAGAGAGAGAGAGAGAGAGAGAGAGAGAGAGAGAGAGAGAGAGAGAGAGAGAGAGAGAGAGAGAGAGAGAGAGAGAGAGAGAGAGAGAGAGAGAGAGAGAATGTTAAGGGGTGGTCACCTAGTTTGTTCTGGGGAGGTCAGGGAACATCAATTTCGATTTCGATTGATTCTGTACATGAATCTTAGACGGTCATTCACATTGTACATGTTTCTCCATAAAAAATCATTATCACCACCCCTAGCCATAAATTATGACCGGTCCCTTATCAAGCTATAAACTGAAACGTAACGGCGTAGAATGTGTGCAATAAACAAGAAGTTGTTATGTCCCCAAATCTCGTTCCTATACATACCGACACATCCCGTGTCACAATCCGATACTCTGGCATCACGCCAGAGTGCACATGCACCCCGGACAGCGCTATCCACTCAGGCGTTGGTTAGACCTGACTACTGAACACAACTACTGTTTAAAACTGTATGGGATAGAATCGATTATTACCAAGGTGACCTAATTCTTGGCGAGATAGACATCCACACTTCAGCAAGCCGGGGATTGCGACTGAACCACATGGCAACAAATCTGGGATTACTCCCCCAAGCGATCTTAACGCTAAGTGAGTGAGTGAGTGAGGTTAGTTTTAGCAATATTCAGCAATATTCCAGCTATATGGCAGCGGTCTCGAAATAATCGAGTCTGGACCAGACAATCCAGTTATCAACATCATGAACATCGTTCCACGCAATTGGGATACGATGTCATGTGTCAAACAAGTCAGCGAGCCTGACCACCCGATCCCGTTAGTCGCCTCAAGCATGGGTTACTGAAGACCAATTCTAACCCGGATCTTCACGGGTACTTAGCGCTAAGTTGATCGTAAGTCCAAGCATAGACTTAAGATAGTCGTAGCGCTAAGATCGCTCTCTGTGTAAGCGTCCCCTGGACAGTAGAGTTGAAAAACCTGCGGGAGGTCACAGATCAGCTCTCACGTCACCTGAAAATATAACATGCCAGGCCATCCATACTTTCCCATCTCCGGCAGGACAGCGAAAAAATGAAAGTTGATTTTTTTATACAAAACATGTTTTTCACTTTTTACAGTTGTGGAACATATTTATGAAATTATATAATTGAATCATTTGATAATAGCCTAACGAAGCGCTTGTCTTCAAAGACAATTGTTAATGGATAAAGATGAAGAAAGATCAAGATGACTGGCCCCAGATTTTCGAAGCCCTCTTAAGCTCTCAAAAAGCTATCGTAGTGCTACGACTGTCGTAACACCTTTAAACCGTAACATAGACTTGCGACAGTCGTATCGCTACGATAACGTTGTGAAACGGGGCCCTGTTTTCGTGATGAATGTGAAAGGGTAAGATTATTTTTTTATCACACCTGGACATACATTTCCACAGCGGCGGGTAAAAATGAGATAAAAAAACGTTTTATAATTAGACGTTGGAGCAAAAAGTCAGGATGGGCTCCTCTATGGAGCTGGTAAACACAAAACAAAGGGACAGCCTTAAAGAAACTCGAGTGAAAGTAGATCTTCGTCGTCTTGTGGGAATATTTATGGGCACGGTGATAGCAGACGGCAGGCAAACACTTACTTTTTGTGAGGAAATAATGTGAGGTGAGCGGGTGGAATGGAGCTTCACGTCGTACTTAAGAAAATTTCGCTCATATGACGACGTGCATGTGTGCGTATGTGTGGCTGCTTGTACTAGCCCAGACTTAAGCTGGTTTTATAGTGCTAGCTCACTGAGATACCATGCCGCAGTTTAACATGAATACCCCACTCAGACACATTATACTGAGCCGACCAGTCCTTGTTGTACCTATTAACGTCTTTTGGTATGACGCGGTCGGGGATCGAACCCGCGACCTTCCGCACTCCGGGCGGCCGCTCTAACCACTACACCACGGAGGCGGTCGTAATTTATGAGTGGTGGGAGCTACCGGCAGAGCCTGAATTTCAGTGAACCATTGGTATAATTTTCATCATTGCTATGGAACATGTTCCGGTAGATATTATGCTCATTACTCTCTCATTACTCTACGTATGTATGTATGTATGTATGTATGTATGTATGTATGTATGTATGTATGTATGTATGTATGTATGTATGTATGTATGTATGTATGTATGTATGTATGTATGTATGTATGTATGTATGTATGTATGTATGTATGTATGTATGTATGTATGTATGTATGTATGTATGTATGTATGTATGTATGTATGTATGTATGTATGTATGTATGTATGTATGTATGTATGTATGTATGTATGTATGTATGTATGTATGCATGCATGCATGCATGCATGCATGCAAGTATGTATGTATGTATGTATGTATGTATGTGTTTTGAATGTGTGTGCTTGTGCGCACGCGCGTGTGCGTGCGTGCGTGTGTGAATGCGTGTGTGTGTGCGCGCAGACATGTCAGGGCATAATCAGATTTGCGCTGGGACAAAACTCCGCGACGCCGTTTGTGAGCCCGCCTATACGTGGCCAGGGCTCATGCTGATTACTCAAAGTATATATACACTTAAAAAATAGATTTGACCATAAAGGTACGTTATTTCGAAAAAGGTGCAAAAAC